TTCATTTCTGCCGATGGAGATGTAATTCTCAATGAAAATTTTGTGAAATTTCGAGAACTCTTTGTGGCGCAGATTTAGAATTTTTTATAAGTCAAGATTGAGAAGCACTGTATATAGCAATTCTGTGGAACTTTGAAAGCTCTCTGAGGTGCAGAATTAGAGAAATTTTGTGGAATTTTGAGAGCTCCCTGAGAAGTGGATTTAAAGAAATTCGGTTTATAAATTTATTTCACTTTCATATTTTCTGTAAGTGAAGATTTAGGGACACTATATATTGAAATTATTATAGAGACACTATAATAATTTCGTGGAATTTCGAAAACTGTGTAAAGCAGAATTTGACAAATTTGGTCCTTGAATTCATTTCATTCTGGCGTTTCTTACAAATCAAATATTTGTTCAAATACTTTAATTGCCCTCGAGAAAATTTTTATTTTCTTTCTTTCTTCTTTAGCAAAGGGTACAGTTTTAATAAAGTGGCAGCAATTCGTACGAAACATTCGAATGGCATTCCAAAGCAATTTAGTAACGCCCAACCGTATGGCGCTATTAAAAACAGAACCACCGGCAAAACTTTCCTTACAGTTCAGAATTATTCGAACGGAACACTGAATATTCCAGCATTATTTCAGTTTGCCAGTTTCTTTAATTAAGAAGTTTATCCGCGTAGCATAAACATCTTTCTTCATGCACTGTCGCGGTAATATAAAGTGGCTAGTGAAATGTATTATAAAATACAGTTTGACTTGAAGTTTTGCTTGTATTTCAGTTTGACTTGGTTACCTCCTCAAGATTCCTTTTAAAAATCGTCGAAGACACCCAAATTGTTACTTAAAACTTGAGAAATATCATCGTACAAAAGTGTCTCTAACGAAACCAATTTTTAACTTCGAGTCCAATAACAATCTTAAGCTTTCACTGATATATTGATTAGAAATAATTGATAATCAGTCAAAGTCAAAGAAAAATTGTTCCACAAAATTGTTTGAAGAGGATAATTGAAGAGGAAATGCCAAAGTGTCGAATTTTCCGTTTTTCCAACATCGCACACGCGTCAATTGTATAAAGTAATTAGCCACTGTGCACTGTATTCGTGATCTAAACAGAGGAACGTTGCACCTTTTCAACCCGCATCGAGTTGACAGGAAAGGGGGAGAAACCCATTTTCCCTATGACGATTTCATTGGAACTTCCATTGACGCGTGGAAAATCCGCACAAAACACGAATTTTGTAATTAATGAACGCTACCTACGTGTCGCGAAATTGCCGGAATAATTACAAAGACAATCAAGCAGCGTGGCGTTTCGAGCGAGCTGATCCAGCTTTGACAAACAATTTTTCCGATGATCGACCATCGGATTGCGCTCGATCGGGAAAAATATTTGCGATGCCTGCGGCTGTGTACTCTCTCTCTCTCTCTCTCTGTCGCGAAACGAACATGCAAACAAGGGGAAGATAGCCCGGTGACAAATAATATACGAATCTCGTGCTTTGTTTTATCGGCGACGATTAAGAATAGAATTGTTCCCGAGAAAAATGAAACACAGATTGAATTCTGATGCATTTTATAGGGGAAAAAGCACGACATTTTCTTTCGCGTCTAATCGTACTCTCAGTATTCGTTTCTGCTACTTTTATCATTTTCAAAGTGCCCTGCTTATGGATTTAGGATCCCTGCGTTTCAAGAGATTAACTAATTTCTTTATGTTTCTACGGAAAATACTGAAAAATAGCATTCTAAACAGATTGATTACTTTTCGAATATCGTTTGAGATTTAGGTTTCTCGTTAATTCGTGAGTACTCTAGTTTTGCTGCATATTAAATGTTTTACAATGTATCATTCCGTTGAGATTATTTCTCGAATAAATTCGGAATTGAGCGTTTGACTGTGCTCTGCAAAGGTTAACGAGCTTTTTAATTATTTAAATACTATTCTGTGATATTTTCTCTTCTCTAACATGAAATCTTCAAATGAATTCATAATTCACAGTTGTTATTTCGAAATGACGAATCTTTCAATTAATCTCCCGCATTTCTGTGATCAATATTTTACCTTCTGCGCGGAATATGTTTAAACCATCAGCTGCTGTCTCAACTTCTTTGTTCGAGAAGCGGAAGAAAAAATATCTCAGACACAGTTACTCTTGTTACACATAATATGTCACTGTTGTGTTCGCGAAACTTTCCTCGTCGTTTCTTTTTACAGCAGTTTCCTCCGAGTTTCCCTTACACTTTCCGATCAGAAACACTCAGATCCGTGCGCTATTTTTTATTCTCTGCACTTTCCCCTCGTTTCTCTCAACTTTTGCCGTAGCTGTAATTTCTTCTACCGAGAACTTTTTCTCAACGACTGTAGAAATTAACCGGGTAAAAGTGACAGGACTTCGTGAAGCACACAGAACCGTTAAACTCGCGTTGAAATTTGCCCGTGAATAAAGTGAAGTACAGTTTAAACGTACTGTTCGAGATAGCCGGGAAACTTTTCGATGGATGTGCGAAGAGGAAACGTGAGAAGTCGCGTTAAATCAGTCGCGATGGTAATTAACCAAGGGAGAGAACGAGCTGTGCAATTTTTTATTCATGAGCCCCAGAAAACGCTCACCTGTTGCTTGAACGAAGGGAACTGTAATTTCAGCGCTACCTTGAAATATTAATTAAAGTAGCTTCTTTGAAATATTCATTTTACATACTTTTGTCTCCTCCTTTGTTTTTTCCCTTGCTTTCAGAATTTATGGAATTTACCTTTTCGTTGGGTTAAATATACCTTTATATCCTTAAATAATTCTGTATTTTAATTGCAGTAATAAGTACGTCGTCGTCAACAAACCCTTACCGAACGTCGTTTTATTCTTCCACGCGAACCTTCTCTTTTCCAACTCCTTCAGATTTTAGTTTCCGTTCTTTTGTCTCTCCCCGGGTTAAGACTTGCCTTCGTCCTCGACTGGCCTAAGAAGCGCACAGTGTCATCCAGGTTCGCACGAGGACGAACGGCCTCGCTTTCTACGAATTTTCCGTTTCCACCACTTTCTTCACTTCTATCTTTATCTATCGCTACTCTTGTATCCCTGTCCTAACAATATAAAAACCCAGTACGCCTACACCTCGAGACAATTTGTTCCTTTATCGACCATCGCGACGTCCCCGCCGAACCGCTGCCGCCGGGACAATTAACAAAGTAAACGATTGTATTTTCTGGACCAATTGTACGCCGATCGTAGACTTGTACTTTAATAAATTGAGGTGAAAACAGTGTAACGACGTTCCTCACCCACCTCAGTAGTGTGAAATCTATCAAAACTTGAGGAAATATTTTTGAATATTTTCCATCCCTGTCGAAGAATTTGTACGAATTCTATAAATTCTTGATTATAACTACAGTAACGAAGAGTACGAAGAATTGGTTACGAAGTGTCGAATAAAATACTTGACAATTGTACTAAAATATGAAAGTGGCGTATCTGTGAAATTTACGAGAATTTTTCATCACTGTCGAAGAATTTCACAGGAATTCCAGTTTACGCACTTTGACGAAATCACCAGAGAGATGTCACGTGAATTTACGAACTTCAAAAGAATAGAAGACTTTGACTTTGCGCATTGTACGTTGATTAAAATAATTACAGGCCCACTCCGTGCTATTATTACAGAAATTGCGAGACGTGAAGTGTATCAAAAGGTTTCCTCCTCGGCGAGGTGAACACGGCTTGCGTTAACGAAATTGGAAAGGGGTCTTTCAAAATTCCGTAAAAATAACGCGAGACGCGTCCAATATTTCAGCGAATGTCGCCGCGTTAAGCAAAGAATATCCCTTTTAGAACTTCGCGCTCGATTTATTACAGCGAAATCCTAATTGCATGGAACGGTGTGAAAGTACCGCGTGAAATTCGATTACGGTGGAATTCTCCGGCAAGGAAACGTGAATACTGGATGAAAAAATGAAGTGTTTTTTTTTTCAGGCAGGAAAATTTGCAGCGAAGAGGAAAGTATCGAATGTGAAGTGAAATACTTGTAAAGATTCTTGTCGATCTGTATTCCGTATGTCAAAAAATGCAGAAGGTATGTGGTACGAAACATTCAATTTTCGAATGCGGAAATAATTGTCGAAATTGTGCAATTTGGTAATATTTGCCTTCTGAATCCTTGAAATTTTTTCATACAAATTTTACAAACACTTTGCTTCGTATTTTAATATGCTATATTCTATTCAATTTTCGATTTATAATTCTTTTTCTTTGTGCTCGATCAAATTCGAGCCATCACACACTATAAGACCAATTTTTCCAGAGGATATACATCGCGTATCTATTTGATACGATTTAAACTAATCAATCCCACAATTTTTTTCACAATATTCACTGTATATTTATCTACCTAATTCAAACAACCATCCACTATTCCAGTAATGTTGTAATGATAATATTCACCACGCGTTCGTCTATTTAATTAAAATTATCGTCGATTATTTAAAAATTTGTTTCCCTACGATATTCGTCATACGACTGTCTACTAAATTGAAACTACCAGCCCTTACTAACCACAAGTTTTAATTCATGATATTCACCATGTATCTAATCCAAACTACCACGCGTTGCTTCTACAAACTCTGTTCTCATAATATTCACCATACAACCACGCACTATTTTTACGAATTCCATTTCCATAGTATTCACTATATGCACTGTCGTCTAAAAGTTCGAAGCCACTGTGCGTTAGAATCAAGCTACGCAAGAATGGTCCAAAAAATTTAGCGACTACTGTTGCCCAAATCTACCAAATCGAAGTAAGTTACTATCACTGCAGCGACATTCAGAATTGGTAGCAGATTCGTGTAAATTAACAAATAGTTCTAAGTTAATTTACCACCCACTATCCCCACAATTTTGTTCCTTCTCGTACTCACTATGCAACTATCAATTCCTACTAAGATGCGATCGGGACTTGAAAGTCGACAGGTCCCCGCGAGTTTCGCGAAACGCGAAAGTGAGTGAATCAGCTCACCTGTTGCTGTTTAAGCGTCGGGACGATTTCTAGCTCCCCTGGGACTCGTTCCTTCCGTTTCCGCTTCACGTGGCTCACAGTCGAAGGATCGTGTTCAAAGGTTGTCTGGTCGACACCGGGCGCCGCGAGTATGGCGATCAGGGCATCGCGACGCCACCCTTTATACGCGTGTAAGCCGCCTGTGTGCCGTGGGCCGCGCGTGTCGACCACCCCTCTACTCTTCACCCCTTCTCCCTTTCTCTCTCACTCTCTCGCTCTTTTCCTCTCAACGCGATGTATCCTTCTTTCTCTCTCTCTCTCTCTCTCTCTCACTCTCTTTATCTCTCTCTCATTCTCCTTATCTCACTCACTTTCTTTCTTTCAACGCGATATATCCTCTCTCTCTCTCCCCCCCTCTCTCTATTTCTCTCATCTCTCTGTTTCTCTCCTCTCTCTTTCTCTCTCTCCTCTCTCTCATCTCTCTGTTTCTCTCCTCTCTTTCTCTCTCTCCTCTCTCTCTCTTTCATTCACTCACTTTCTTTTTCTGAGCACTATATACCCTTCTCTCTCTCTCTCTCTATGGCCACCCTCGTGCGCATACGCGCGGTCTCCGCGATCGGCATTCAATTCTCTTCGTCGCGAGCTCTCCTCGAAGTCGGTGTGACGAAAAACGTGTGTGAATGACTCCTTTGACAAGAACATTCTCCTATTCACCTTCCCTTCCTGTCATTGGCTTCTTCTTTCTTTTACTTTCTTTCTTCTTGGAAAAGTGGCGAACGATTTTTGCAAATTGCGAAAGATCTATTGGGTGATTTATCCATCTGTTTTTTTTTTTTGCTCATTTTCGAAAGTGCTGCATATTTTGATAAATTTTTGGGCTGAATTGAAATTTGTTTGGACTGTGTATGTGCGTGTAGCAAAAGATTTTCTTCTTTTTTTAACAATTTCTCGTTAATTCCTCGTTTCGAATTTGCATTTCCAGCTATTGAAAAGTAGTGAGAATTGTAACGTGCCCTCAGGACACGATTTAAGGGTGTAAATGTGAGTGACGGTTATTTGGTACGTTGGTGTTGAGTGTGGTTCCAGTGGTTGATTGTTGGGTAGGTGGATTGTGATTTGGTGAGTAGGGAAAAGAGATGGTAATGGAGCCTGGGGTTATTGGCTCTGAAGTATCGTGATATGACGTGAATTTTTAAAGAGCAGAGAAGTATCGATATGTCCATGTACTATGAATAATTCCAATATAAAGAAAACACACAACTTTACGAATAAATTTCAACTTGTAATCTGTTTCTTTCAAATTACAATCATAATTTCCTATAAATTTTAATTCGTAAAATTAAGTCCATATTGAATTACAAGCTTTCAGATTCATTTTGAAAAAGATCACACTCCACAAATGTTCGAAACAAACGAAAAAATGAAAATACAGTGTAATTTTCGATCGAACAGCACAATTTGTTTTCCACGAAAATTGCTTTACATACAGTTTATTATTTCAAATCTGACCACAGGAAACCCATCGTCTCTTCTGCAATATTTTTCTAACTATACTTCTGATAACACATGGTAAACGAACATTGAAAAACAACAAGATAACTCTCGAGTGAAAACTTGAATTACTCTTAAAGGAAACATTGTGCAATTGTAATTTCTATTTCTAAAAAGGAAGAAAATTGCAAATTTTGCCATATTCTCGGTGTCCGCGACACGCTGCAGCCATTTTTCGAACCATTTCTAAAAGCAGACATGTGGTTAGACATTTGTCTCGCCCCATTTTCCCTTTTCATTCTCAATCTTTTTCACCCTTTCGCCAGTACACCCACGTATGACTCGTTTTTCAACGAATATTCTCCTATTTCCTGGCTCATCGGTTTCTGTCGTGCAGGCAACAGGTCCATCAGCTTCCTCCTTGCCCAACTCTACCTCCTGACGATTTAACCTCTGAACTGTCTCGAAACGATATATTATTTGCAATATAGTATGTAACTATCATTTTGTCATTTTGCTATAAGAAATTATTTACCGAGCCCTCCTAAAAATGTTGCACATATCAGCAGACTGTTTGGTTTTTATTTAAAATTATCAATGGCGAAGTCTCTTTTGAAACAAATTAACTTGTGTGCACCACTCGGATGCATTAGGAGTAGTACATGTAATAAATATTAATATTAATTTTGTCTTTTTTTACTTAAGACTCAAGGGTAACCGTAAAGTCGTGCATCGAAAAAAATCTTAAAAATCCGAATTAACCATTCATTATCAAAATTATACGGCCTTGTGTGATGGAAACAATGATAAAAATTACGTTTAAATGATCGACTTGAAAAGGGTCCAGTAAGTTCCGTAAATTGAAGTGTACTCAATTCTTCGTTTCGCAAAAGCAATTTGATACGACTGCAATAAATTCATAAGAGCGAAATCAAATGTATGTATTAATTGAGATAATCACTAATTGAAAGTAGCAACGTGTAAGTAATTTTAAATACTTTTTATACATTCTGCACGTCGTTTTAAATTGAAAAGATGAGAGTGTATATTATACGACTAATCCTACGTGATATCGTTTATGTATCACAACGGAAACATTGATTATAACAAACGTTGATGGAAAATTAAGGGTTTAATAATGTATTACGTGTGCGAATGTCACAAATTTATCGCATTTCGGGTGTAAATAAATCATTATACCGTTGCATTGCTTAAGAAGATTGTAATTTATTCATCAATACATATGTATATACGTGTGTTAGCATAGTTCTATTTAAATCAACGTCGAAGACATTCGATAATCTCAGGGATCTTCATATTTTGAACGATATGAATGGATTTTAGATCGGCTGACACTGTTACTGAATGAAATTCCAAACTCTTTTTGCAATATACCACTTATGAGCATTTGCACTACCGGCCAAAAGTATGGAATCACCTGTCAATTTTCGTCAATACCGAATCTGTTACTAATTCTTTGTAGATTTGAAATTGACGTTTGCGGGGATCAGTAGCAGTTTACCTCGTTTCGACGGATTGGAACGATAAAATTTTCTTAAAATTGCAAACCTTTTTCTGACAAATGTTTGCGTAACTTGCAACGCACAGTGATTCCAACCATTCGACCGGTAGTGTGTATCATTCTCGTAACAAGAATTCCATGTTACAAAGGAAATTATTCGCGGATGAATGGAGAAAGTCAAAATGGAAATCCTCTGGATCAGTTCACAGAAAAATTGCAATTTTACGCGTTTCATTTTCGACGAAAAGTTTCAACACGTTCCACAAATGTCTCTTCTCCTACACAAATTTTCTTTTTCCTTTTTTCAACTCATCGCGACGTTTTCTCAAAAATTTCAAACAAACGATCTTCCTTTTTCCTTTTCGTCGTGAAATTTTCGTATCTTCGGAACAGCCAAAGCTGCAGAATATTCACGCACGAGTCATCTCTGTTTTCGTCGAAGAAAGGTAACCGGCGTAAAAATAGCGACTGGTTTATCAGTTTTTTTCGCCGTGTTTCACGAATCGTGACACTGTCCCCTTCGTGGAAAAGTGATATGCGAGTATGTCAGCGAGCATATTTCGGGTATGTACCGTGGAAAAAACTTGTCGCTGTTTGGTCTGCGATTTCTCCACCTTAATTGACCGGCTGCGAAAGCAATATCAAGATGAGCTACTACTCTGTGCGAATAGAGATACCTGAAATCGTTACCATTTCAGGAAAAATTGGAATGCTCGATGGAGTGCGTGTGTGGAGTGGATTACGTATCCTAACGATATTCCGATTTAGTTCATTTAAGAGTGTTTCGTAAAAAGGAAATGGGTGTCGCGTGTAAGGGAGAAATGTAAGGGACTGCAATACTGGTGTATTGCAACCTTTTGCAAAATACGTTTCGTACAGTTATCTCGATGTCCTTTCCTTGATTCCTGTGGTGGCCTGAAAGTTCCATTTCTAATTTTCAAATGTTAAATAAAAGTTATGAACAATTTCTGACTAATCTACTGCATGCAATTGTTAATTCGATGTGAAATTAGCAATTTTATTTGATATATTCAATAATTATAAACTGCCATCTAAATTATTATTTAACAAGAGAAACTTATTATTCTCCGGGAAATAAAATTGAAATCTTAATGAATTTTTCACTCGAGAGGCGACTGAGAATCGACATTAACCCTTTTAATTCCACGTGCAAAGAATCCTTTCATATCAGCTTAGTCGTAGCAAATTTCTAGCTACTGCGGAGATTTCATCTAAATATCTCGAAACATCGAGTGACCAGAAATTTGCATATTTTTGCTTGTCTTGTATTTCCAACAATACGTCTTGCTCCGGGAACAAGAAGGTTAATTGCTCACCACATGGTAAGTAATTAATCGAGGTCCTATTAGAGCTGATATTTTCCAGGACAGCAGATTTATAGGCCTCCGTAAGCTGTAGAGTTCCATATGTTAGATGTCCAGGCAATGAAACAATTGGAAAGGACCAACCTCTAACGAACTGTTACAAGTTTTTGTATAATACAAAAACGTATTAAATATTGAAATAAATTTGTTATATCTTTTAATGTATGTACAGCTGATGTTTATGTTAGTTTTAAAAACATTCGTCAAGTTTATTTAGCAAGCAATCTCCGATTTGCTACTTCCCTATAGGAAACAAATCTTTGTGTGCAAAGGGTTAAGCTGCTTTAGTACGTTTTCGACACTATTTTCTCGCAAATTTCAAAGTCTTCCGGTCGAATGTCGGGATTTACATGGACTTAGAGAATTCTGACATGTCTGAGAAGTGATTTACTTACACTACTTGCTGGTTTTGAAAAAGTTTCGAGCGTGAGTCGATAATTATTCAGACGCCCGAAAATTTCTAAGTAGTGTAAGTCAATCATTTCTCAGCCGTTCGAAATTTTTCGGTATCAGTAAGCTATTTTCGCGCAAGATTCTAAATTTTTCGCTTGAGTTTCGCGTTTTTTACGATCCTTTCGATTTTTACGCGTTCCTAACTCTATCTACACTTAGTTTGCTTAATTTTTTAATGGAATATTATTTGAAGAATGAGTGTTTTGCAAAGGGAAGTGAACGTGGCGTGTAAG